ACACCTGTAATCCCACCACTGAGGAAGGAGGACTGCTTTGAGTTTGAGATCAATTTGGGCTACACAGTGAGTTCTAGGACAGCCTGGAGTATATAGAGACCTGACTTCATAAAAACTAACCAGCCATCTTAGTTATCCTTATCAACTTGACACTGCCAAGAGTCATCTAAGAGAAAAATCCTCAACTGAAAGAACTGCCTAGATCAGATTGGCCTGTGGGATATCTGTGGGTGGGGTTGTTTTGCTTATTAATTCAGGGGTGCCTTGTCTACTTGTGGTTGATACTATTCCTAGGCAGGCTGTATGTGAAAGCAAGCTAAACATCAGCCTGTGAGTGAGCCAGCAAACAATGTTCCTCCATGGTTCCTGCCTCCAGACCCCTGCCATAAGTTCCTTGACTCAATGATGGATTGTGACCTGGATGTGTGAGCTAAATAAACCCTTTTCTCCCCAAGCTGCTTTTGGTCAGAGTGTTTTATCAGCAACAGAATGAACTAAAACATAAATTGGTATTAGGAGTGAGTGTTGCTTAAGCAGACCTGACCATTTGGCTTTTTATGCTCTTCGACTATTTTGTTGGACAGCTATGGAAGATTTTAGAACTTTGGGCTGGGAAAGCATTTAAGAACTCAGAGCTTCATGAGCTACTGTTATTGGAGCTTGGAAGATCTGAGAGAAATGTAAACAATAGAGGATTGGCTTGTGAGGTTGCAAAGGGAAACAAAGACCCTATTAGGGCCATCTGTGTGATGTGTTTGGATCTTTAAGAATCTATGGTAGGGCTGGGTGGTGGTGGCGCATGCTGATCCCAACGCTGAGGAGGCCGAGACAGGCGGATTTCTGTGAGTTCAAGGCCAGCCTGGTCTACAAGCAAGTTCCAGGACAGGCTTCAAAGCTACAGGGAAACTGGGGGGGGGGGGGGGGGGGGGGGGGGGGGGGGAATCTATGGTTGAGGGCTGAAGATGGCTCAGAGGTTAAGAACACTGTCTGCTCTTCCAGAGGACCAGGGTTCAATCCCCAGCACCCACATGATGGCTCACAACTGTCTGTAATTCTAAGATCTGAAACTCTCACACATGCAGGCAAAAAAACAATGCACATAAAATAAGAATAAATAATTTATTAGGAAGGAAGGAAGGAAGGAAGGAAGGAAGGAAGGAAGGAAGGAAGGAAGGAGAGGAAGGAAGGAAGGAAGGAAGGAAGGAAGGAAGGAAGGAAGGAAGGAAGGAAGGAAGAAAGAAAGAGAATCAATCAATCAATCAATCAATCAATCAATCAATCAATCAATCTATGGTTGCCAGGCAGCTGAGACTGAAGAATCAGCTGTGATTAACAAAGTATTAGCACTAGTAAAGTAAAAACCTGTGCTACACTGAGAAAATAGGATGCTAGTAAACTCAGACTGAAAAAACCCACCTGTCTTTGTTTTTCTTTTGAAACAGGGTCTCAAATGTGTAGCCCTATCTGTTCTGGAACTCATTAATTAGACTGGCTGGGATTGATAAGCGATTAACACCACTGAGGCAAAATCTCCTGGGAAGTATTTCCTCATCACACAGAAACTGTATATGTGTGGGGGCAGGGAAAGGGGAGTGCAAGGCAGCAGAATTTGGCAATGTGTAGAAGTCCCCATGTGGCACTGTGTGCCAGGGTTAGAGTCCCTGCAGAGGGCAGAAGAGGCCACTGGTAAAAGCGCAGCTTCAAGTGCAATGGGAACCCTAGGATATAGGAGATGCCAGGACCATGGGATGTCCACCAAGGACAATAAAAGGACGAAGTCAGCCTCAGCCTCCAAGGCAAGGTGTGTGCACTTCAGGTGGCAGAGCTGGAGAGGTAGGCTGCTGGACACTAAGCTACAGCATCTTGAGTTACACTGCTATATGTTGGTTTTGCTTTGATCTGATAACATGAGAATTCTTTCCTTTGGGGAAGTATATGACCTAATTTTTATTTTACAGGGCCCCACAATTAAGAGATTTTGGGTTTTTAAAAAGAGCTTGGATTTTTAGAGTGTTGAAAATTTAAAGACTATGGTACTTTAAAAAGTTGGGACTAAGTTTGATATTATAGTATTAACATGAGCTCTATGGAACAAGGAATTGAAATGTTACAGATTAAAGCAACAGTTTGTTCATCAAGATGAAAAGTAATAAAGTATCCTCATTAGTTTTAATTGTCAATGTGACATAGCCTGGAATCATCTACAAAGAAAGGCTTGATTGACGATTTCTCTAGTTGAAATTAGCCAGTGGGCATGTCTACAAGGGGGTTGTCTTATTAACTGAAGCAGGAGAGTCCTGCCCACTGTGGGCAACACCATCCCTAGGCAGGGGGTCACAGGCTGTGTAAGAAAGCTAACTAAGCATGAGCCTGCGAGTGAGTCAGCATCATGCTTCCATGGTTTCTAGCTCGATTCCTGCCTTGAGTTTCTGCCCAGACTTCCCTCAATGACAGACTCTGACATGGAAATGTAAGTCAAATAAGGATATCCTTTCCTCACCACATTGTTTTTGGTCAAGCTACTTTACCACAACAACAGAATGAACTAGGACAATCAATCAATAAATAAATCAATGACAAAGCAGATCATGTCAGAATCGTAAAGGCTCTGGATAATTACCTATGTAGTGAAATGCAAACCCCTTATCAGGATCTACAGTCTCTGCAAGATCTGGTTCCTGTTTGCCACTCTATCATCTTTCCATTCAAAAATCCCTCTTTTTTCTTTCTGTGGTTAACTTTGGTTTCAACTTGATTATATCTAAGATCAACTAAATGACAAATCTGTTGGACAGCAATACATCTTCACAGTGTACTAAATATCCCACAACATTTCCCCCCTTTTTGTATAAATAAAATGGGAAGGTTTTAACTCTAGCACAGTAAAACTATACACAATAAGAATAATTATCAAGTAACAAATACATTCACAATATACCAGTCCATTAGTACTGGCAAATTCAAAAAAAAAAAAAATACTGTATTATCTATCCTATGTTGATGAGTACAAAGTTTTGTATTGAACTATTTTCTATCATAACTTGTATTATCATCCTAAAAATATCTTTTTAGACCTAAAAAACATCTTCTTAGATAAATAAGTTAAGCTTTTTATGTGTCTCAACCTTATAAACTTTACATCTCTTAAGTTTCTTTTCTGAATTTGGGACCAAGGAAAATTGTAACTGTAACTATCTAGTCCTTAACCCCATCAAAGACCTGAGAAGGATATAATATTACCTGCGGTAAACAGGAAGTATAGAGCAAACAACTTCCAAAACTATAGAAATGACAGAGACAGCTGGCTGCCTGGACAGTCACCCAAAGTTCCCCTGCAATGCTGACCTACAGACCTAGAAAATCTGACAGACTTTTCTGTGAAACAGAAAATTTTTGAAGGACTGTCCTACCTTATCTTGGGCAAAGTTTGGCAGTTCCCTTCTTTTGAGTCCTGTTTGCCCAATTTGAACAGCATACTGTCAGCAGTTGAGGCAAGGGCAGTTTCTTGCCCAGTGGCTAACTTTTTTTTTTTTTGGTTTTTCGAGACAGGGTTTCTCTGTGTAGCTTTGCGCCTTTCCTGGAACTCACTTGGTAGCCCAGGCTGGCCTCAAACTCACAGAGATCCGCCTGGCTCTGCCTCCCGAGTGCTGGGACTAAAGGCGTGCGCCACCACCACCCAGCTAACTTATTTTTTTTAATATTTTTTTTATTTTACATGTAATGAGTATTTTCTCTGAATGTATGTAGGTGTACATGTTCATGCCTGGTGCTCTTGGAGACTAGAAGGAGGCAACAGATTCCCCTGTAACTAGAGTTACAGACAGCTGTAAGCTGACACATGGGGGGCTTGGAAGTGAACCTGGGTCCTCTGGAAGAACCACTAGTGCTCTAAACCACTGAGCCATTTCTCCTAAGAACATATTTTCTTTCTTTTTTTTTTTTTTTTCTTTTTTTGAGACAGGGTTTCTCCATGTAGTTTTGGTGCCTGTCCTGGATCTCACTCACTCTGTAGACCAGGCTGGCCTCGAACTCAGAGATCCACCTGGCTCTGGCTCCCAAGTGCTGGGATTAAAGGCGTACACCACTGCTGCCTGGCCCCAGTGGCTAATTTTGCCACAATAAAAGCAAAACTCCATATGGAGGTTCTCTGATGTCCATCATCTTTTTTTTTTTTTTTTTTTTTTTTTTTGAAGTAAATTGGTGCTGCCAGAAGCAGACAGTCTTTACTATCATGAAAAACCTTAGGTTATTAAAACATCTTGGCTGGCGGTGGTAGAGACCAGGAAACAACAAAGACCAAAAATTTGTCCTATAGAAATATATATATAGTCTAGAGTTGGGGAGTAGTGGTGCACACTTTTTGTCTCTTTTTTTTTTTTGGTTTTTTCGAGACAGGGTTTCTCTGTGTAGCTTTGTGCCTTTCCTGGGACTCACTTGGTAGTCCAGGCTGGCCTCGAACTCACAGAGATCTGCCTGCCTCTGCCTCCCAAGTGCTGGGATTAAAGGCGTGCGCCACCACCGCCCGGCATGCTGCACACTTTTAATGCAAGCACTCAGGAGGCAGAGGCAAAGACTCTGTGAGTTTAAGGCCAGCCTGGTCTACAGAGTTAGTTCCAAGACAGCCAGGACTACACATAGAAACCTTGTCTCAAAAATACAAAAAAGAAAAAAGAAAAATATAAACATATAGTCTAGCAAGGGAAAAAAATAATACACAAGATAAATACGTAATATGAAATATTGGGAAAGGGTGAAATTTTAGTCATCTAAGATGATTTCTGGGAAAAGGACCCCCAAGGTAGCAAGGATCTAATTACATTCACCTCTATAGGAAGAACATTCCAGAAGAAGACAAAACATGTGCAAAGGCCCTAAGGAAGGAGTCCCCTAAGCAGGCTGGCTATAGCAGATATCCTCTTTGGTGACAACAGCTAACTGGGAAACTACAAAGTGAGGAGGGAGGCAGAGTCTGACTAGAGGAGCAACATGATGTAACTCACCTGTTCCTGGAATCCTTCTGTATCAGCAACAGATGGTACTAGGCAAGAGCAGAAGACAAGAAACAGCCAAATAAGCTTGAATGACAGACGAAACCAAAGTGGTTAGCAGTGAGGATGCTGAGCAAATTCTGATCCTTAGAAATCCAAGAGCTGGTCCCAGAATCTTCCTGGAATTCAAACAAGAGAAATTTCTATATGAGGCTAGAGAGATGGGCTGAATAGGTAAGGATATGTGCTACCAAACCTAGTAACCTGAGCTCAATCCTGGGACTCACGTGGGTAGTACAAAGTCAACTCTGACTTCCATATGGGTACCATGGCATACCATGTATACACATGCAAAAACATACACAATAAATAAGGAACTACAGAGATGATCAGTGGTTAAAAGCATTTACCTGCTCTTGTAGAGGACCAAAATTTGGTTCTAACACACGTGCCTTGAAGCCCAGCACTACTACAGAGAGCAGAGGCAGGCAGGTCTCTATGAGTTTAAAGCCAGTCTGTTCTACATAGCACATTCCAGGCCAGTCAGGGCTTTAAAAAAAAAAAAAAGTCATAGCTTGCCTCTGCGTTGCTGTGATAAAAACACTAACCAAAACCAACTTGGGGAAGGAAAGAGTTTATTTCAGCTTATAACTTTCCAGTCACACCTCTATCACTGAGGAAGTCCACACCAGAAACCGTGGAGGTGGGAAGTGAAGCAAAGGTCATGGAAAACCTAGTACTTACTGTCTGGTTCTCTAAGCCTTGCTCAACTTGATCTTTTTAGTTTACATTTATTTATTGGGGAAGGGGGCACATGCCAGGGCGTGCACTGGAAGGTCAAGACAAACCGTGGACAACCAGTTTTCTTCTACCATATGGGTCCTGGGAACAGAACTCAGATCATCACGTTTAGTGATAAGCACCTTTACCTGCTAAACCATCTCCCTGGTGCCTCAGCTAGAACTTTCTATGCAATCCAGGACTACCTGCTCAGGGATAGCACCAACAACTGACAGCTAGACCTTCTCACATAAATAATTAATCAAAAGTAAATGTCCTTCAGACTTGCCTACAGGCCAGTCTTACACATTTTCTCAGTTAATTTCCTTCTTTCCAGGTGACCAAAGCTATGTCAAGTTGACAAAAAATTAACCAGCACAGAAAGCATAATGTTTTCCCCCTGGCTGGTGAGATGGCTTGGCCTATAAAGGGCACTAACCTGAGTTTGAATCCCAAGACCTACATATTGTAGAAAGAAAGAACTGACTCCCATGGGCTGTTTTCTAACCTCCATACCCACCATATGTAGGCCACGGCATTCACGCACTCACCTGCTCACACATATAAATAAATAAATAATTAGCAGGGTTGTGGTGGTGCATTCCTTTAATCCCAGCACTCGGGAGGCAGAGACCAGGCAGATCTCTGTGAGTTCAAGGCCAGCTTGGTCTACAGAGCGAGTTCCAGGACAGGCTCCAAAGCTACACAGAGAAACCCTGCCTCGAAAAAAGCAAAATTAAATTTCTAGCAAAATATTAACACTATAAACTCTACCTGAAAACCACATTGCCAAGATAATGTTTACATTTGAAATAAGTACCTTGAAAGTATAAACAGCAAAGTAGTATACTGTTAGTAAAGGGCACTTCATCTCTTCTAAAACTTGCTACTGCCAGTACTCTGCAAGTAACAGACAGGAATTAAATTTTTGGCTCTTTTCCTTCCATTCTACTCCAATCACTTTGTTTTAAAAAATTAATAAAAATATATTATGCCAGAAAAGGAAAATGCTTAAAGGACACACAGAACATTAATCAAAATAGCCACGACAAATATCTAAGCACTCCACATAACTCTCCCTCAGCAGTTAGAGAGAAACAGAGGAGCTTTACAGATATCAAAGTTTAAAAGCTGGGGCCCGTTTATCAGACAGTGTAATTCTTACTGTGCTGCTATGTTCCCAGCCCCATGGTAACAGTTTACCCCCCTTCCTGATGTCAGGTAGCTGGCTCACTCCACTCCCAGGTAGTCACTGTGGACCCACACCACAATTCTGGGTCTACCTGCTCAGAGAGGGCTCTGGCTGCTGCTACTTTCAAAGAGGGAGAACTGGTAGGGACCTCACAAAAATTGACAATTACATTAACGAGGAGGCAGCACAAAAGTTCAAGGTTTAGTAAGTTATTTTAAAAGAAAATGTCAAAATACTTTCTTATTAAAAATGACTTTCGGGCCGGGCGGTGGTGGCGCACGCCTTTAATCCCAGCACTCGGGAGGCAGAGCCAGGCGGATCTCTGTGAGTTCGAGGCCAGCCTGGGCTACCAAGTGAGTTCCAGGAAAGGCGCAAAGCTACACAGGGAAACCCTGTCTCGAAAAACCAAAAAAAAAAAAAAAAAAAAAAAAAAAAAGACTTTCTGCCAGGCTAGTGGTGGCACATGCCTTTAATCCCAGCACTCGGGAGGCAGAAGCAGGCGGATCTCTGTGAGTTCGATGCCAGCCTGGTCTACAAAGCGAGTTCTAGGACAGGCTCCAAAGCTACACAGAGAAACCCTGTCTCGAAAAACCAAAAAAAAAAAGGCTTTCTCCATTAGAACCTGAGATGTTTTGCCTGGTATGGCTGTGTATACCTATAATCCTAGCACTTGGGAAGTGGGGACAGGAAGAGCAGGAGTTCTAAAGTCAGCCCTAAGTCAGCCCTGGTTACATAGCAAGTTTGAAGTCCAGTCTTGTCTCAAAACAATATAAAAATCTTCAAATATTTAAGCCTATTAGTAATTTCTACACTAACAATTCAATATCTGAGTGTCCTCAGACCAATTAACTCTCTAGGCTTTACTCTGACAATAAGTGTTTCTCAAAACAACCCTCTACAAAGATAGTACCATACCTCTGTCAACATCTTCCAGAGCAGACGCCGTTCCTTTCTGACAGCACTTCAATCATAAGCTCTGGTGTGTCGCAGCCTATTCTGGTACTACAAACTTCTCATGGGCAGAGAACTTACTCAACTTTACACTCTTTAAACCTCCGGGACCAGTGCTTCACAACACAGCTACTTAGCATTTGTCATGTGAATTTCTATATTAGATCAAGGTACTAAACTCACAAGGTCCAGTCCTAGTGTACCCAGAGCAGCTGGTAGAAGAACCAGAGGAGTCACTAAAGAAGGGGTCCCTGTAAATTCCTTAGGTAGCAACCAAAAGCAATTTGGTTGGTTCTTAGTCCTCTTGAAATACTATCAAAGATGCCTCTCTGCTATCAAAGTATTGGGATTTTTCCTCCACTTGTTGTGTAAACATTGTATAGTACAACCTGTCTGGTTGCCCTGTTGTTTATAAAGTCTTCCACAGTACAAAGAACTAGAGTAACCCTAAGCAGCTGGTGGTGGTGGTTAATCTCAACTGTCAACTTGATGAATCCTCAATCAACTGAAAAACAAGCTTCTGAGCATATCCTAGGGGTCACCTTGATTAGGCTAACTGAGGTGGGAGAACCTGCCCATTGAGTAACAACCTTCCCTGAGGTTCTGAACTGTATAAAAGGAGGGGAGCTGAGCACCAGCTTTCATCAGGCTCTGCTTCCTGACAGTATGCAATGTGACCAGTTCCTTCAACCTCCTGCTGCCATGATCTTCCCAAGACTGACCATACCTATAAACCGTGAACCAAAACAAACCACTTTCTCCTGAATGCTGTTTTTATCAGGGTATTTGGTGACAAGAGGAAAGTAACTAGTACACTGTTGAGATCCACACTTCTTTTGCTCAGAACACTTCTAGAAATTCCATAAAACTGAAGTTTTGACCACAGTTGAGACTTTCTTTGTTACAAGTCCAACTTTGTCACATCCTTTTGTCTACCTTCATGAGTTCAAAACAAACTTGTTAGAACACAAAATAACTGTCAGAAGGGCGGCCATGGAAGAATGAAAACAGAACAAGAAGGACTCTCACAGGAAAAAGCACTAATGCTCCTAGAATTACCTGTCCATAACAGCTATGGGCTAGCAATGTACCACCCTGGGGAAAAAAATAGAAATATACTACCAAGGATTACTAAATACAGCTGTAGTTTGGGTCTTTTGAAAATATTTTCCTTACTTTTAATTATGTGTAGGTGTATATGTCTGCACGTGGGCATGTGAACGTGAATGCAGGCATCCACAGAGGTAAGAGGGGGTTGAATCTCCTAGAGCTGGAGTTACAGACACTTGTGAGCCACCTGATGTAGATGCTGGGAAGCAAACTTGGGTCCTCTGAAAGAGCAGCAAATGCTCTTAACTACTGAGCCATCTCTCCAGGACCTGAAGTCCACCTCCACAAAGGCCCATGTAGTTGAAGATTTGGTCACTAGCCTTTGGCATTTCTGGGAACTAGTGAAATGTTTAAGAGATGGAGCCTAGCCGGGCGGTGGTGGGTGCATGCCTTTAATCCCAGCACTCAGGAGGCAGAGGCAGGTGGATCTCTATGAGTTTGAGGCCAATCTGGGCTACAGAACAAGTTCCAGGGCGTCTCCAAAGCTACACAGAGAAATCCTGTCTCGAAAGAGAGAGGGGAGATGGAGAGGGAGAGGGAGAAGAGGGGGAGGGGGAGGGGGAAGGTAAGGGAGAGGGGGGGTAAGGGAGAGGGAGAGAGGGAGGGGGAGGAGGAGGGAGAGGGAGAGAGGGAGGGGGAGGAGGAGGGAGAGGGAGAGAGGGAGGGGGAGGAGGAGGGAGAGGGAGAGAGGGAGGGGGAGGGAGAGAGGGGGAGAGGGAGGGGGAGGGAGAGAGGGGGAGATAGGGGGGGAGTGATTTTGTATTTCCCAAAATATTGTACACCCTAATAAACTTATCTGGGGTCAGAGAACAGAACAGTCACTAGACATAGAGGCCAGAAAATGGTGGCACACACACCTTTAATCCTAGCATTCTGGAGGCAGAGATCCATGTTGATCTCTGTGAATTCAAAGCCACACTGGAAACAGTCAGGCATGGTGACACACGCCTTTAATCCCAGGAAGTGATGGCAGGAAGAGAAAGGTAGATAAGGCGTGAAAACCAGGAACTAGAGCCAGTTAAGCTTTTAGACTTTTAGCAGCAGTTCAGCTGAGATTCATTCTGGATGAGGACTGAGGCTTCCAGTCTGAAGAAACAGGATCAGGTGAAGAATTGGCGAGGTGAGGTTAGCTGTGGCTGGTTCTGC